AAGGTAAGCTGCTGCGGCACTTAAAGGTGTGGATAGTACAATGTTGCACTTATTTCGTCCCGGAGGAAGTATAAAGATGCCTCCCATCTTCCGAACAGACTTGTACTGTATGTCATTCAAGCGATGAAACTCACTTCGGTCCATCGTGGCTCAAACGTAGAGCGCACAGAGGATTCAGGTAGTTCAATCTACTCACGAAGGACTACGAGTGCTACCAAGTGTGACTGGGTCATACAGCACCTTGCACAGAGGAAGTGCTTAATGGTATTTACTACCCGAGTGAACGTTGGCCCACGTGTTCTCGGCCTCAGTAGGAACGGTTTGCTACTTAAAATAGTACATTTAAGACTGATGTCTTTCTAAGTAAGCTTAGCTTGGGTTCCATACAAACTAAAGGTCACCTATAGTGGAGCTATGAAGTTATGCCCTGACTGGCTCCTAGAGCACCTGTTACTGTGTGGTAGGTGTCCACAAGAGTGATGGGTCACTCTCTACAAAACCTGGGGTACACTGGATTGTAATAATACATCCTCATACAGTATTCCTGATACACGCTGGTGACGTCCAGTACGAGCGAAAAACTGTACTACCCCGGCCCTGACCATACAGCAACCCGTTGGCAAGGTACCAAGTTGGTACTACATGGAGAAAACCTTAGATTTAAACCAGGCAACTTTAACTTTAAACCAAGCACATAAGATCTGAACTGATGCAAATAGGGCATCCAAGAAACGTATGTAAGATTAGAACAGCTGTGCAAGTTCATTACTATCGATAGAGTAGTCATATGAGATAACAATTTTATTAATATTCCTAGTTTTATGATTGACATATTTCGACGCCTTACCGCTTCGATAACTGCACGTAGCCAAATCTGCTTCAGTGCAGAATTAGTCTTGACTCACCGGGTCGCGATGGAGTACGACTGGCGTACGTTTGCGTGGAAAATGCTTCGTCGACCACGTGATGACAGCTCGAACTCACCAGCCACGTTGAATTCTGCCTCAGTGCACATTTTGTGTTGGCCTTCATTTTTGTTATTTGTATCTTGAAACATCACAACTAGACTCTCATGTAGCGTTCCGCCAATTTAAACGAGTAGCGTATGCACTAAAAACTTGTAGTTTTTCAAATAAATGCTGTATTATGCCATAGTGCACAATTAGTCTTAGCTTATCGGGAGTTATTACTTAGCAGTTAAATACTCACAAGTTACTATCATTCACTATACTGTATATGCTCTAGAGCATAATTATTGAATCTGGAACATAATTATGTAGGCGTTTCGCCTACCGGAAGATTGGAGCTGCTTGTAATAGATCTGCTTCTAATTCTGGAGCTTGCACTACTAGGTGCAGAGCAAGAATCGAAGATCACCTTCAGTCGGAAAATCAAAACACTATGCGAGCTCATGCTGCCGTGTGGCTTTTCGCTTCAGATAATGGATCTATATACGCTCAGAAGTACGCTCGAGATAGATTGCAACTACAGGGGACATATCTACGCGTATCGGACAGTAAATGGCTGCTGAATCGAGGCGGTGTTGCGTTGAGAGCTGCTTGGAGTGTTCTGCCTCTAGAAGAAAGGCTGCTGATGTTGAACAAGACTGCGGATGAAGGATTTCCCCGGCACCTTATTGATCAAGGGATCGGGATAGAGGATGAGCGCACAAAACGAAGTAAGAAAGGGACTAGATCTCACTCTTCTACAAAGAAGTCGAAACGAGAAGGGAGCCAATCACAAAAACGTGTGTCTGAAACTACAAACATTAAGCAAACCCAAGCGAAGCTGATTCGAGCCCGTAATAAATACTATCAAGTTCTGACAGCAGAGCGCAACCTAAACATTCACACGTCATACAATCGCGGGAGCTTAAGCGGCGTCATTGATGCGGTAACTGGTACCGTTGAGAGCATTATACTGCAGTCACGTGATGACGATGCAGCAACGACAGCCGAGGACGCATATACGGCTATAGCTACGCGCTTGGCTACAGCGTTTGTATCTATGAGGGGTATTGCAATGTTTCCGCCTGAGCATGGAGACGTTCAGGATGAACCTTCACAAGAATTCTCGGAGAATAGAATTCGAGGTACACGATGGCTATAGAGAAGTTGCTGTATCTGCATATGAAGAATGCAGAGAGTTAAACGTCTCTGAGGATCCAGATGCGCCCATTCTCCCTTCGACGTTTCAATATTTCAAGAAACCAGCAGAGATCCCCACATTTAATGGCTCATAGCTGCCGAAATAATTTGACAAACGCAAAAACTCAACGCATTGCTTAGTTATTCATTACTATCAGCTGATTGAATGAATATTAAATCGTATATATTCAAATAATATAGAATCCGTTCATCTATTCTCTTTGTAATGCATGACCAACAGTTCTCGGATGTCCTCCAGTACCACCTCTACCCCTATATCCACGAAGGGAGATATTTGTCTGGCGTCGTGCGGAATCAGTCCGATCTCTTCTTGTATCACCAATACTATCCCGTAAGATACCATTGCCACGACCTCTTGCCGAGATACGTCGACCACCTAGGTTGCGTCCTGATCCAGATCGATCACCCCGTCGACTATTACTGGACGCGCCGTTGCTTCTTTCAACAGTGTTGATGGTCGTGGTAGTTTCCATCCCGATTTTGTTAGAGGAAAGATTTCGTCTAATCCTACGATTAGCAAGAGGACGTGGATCATTTTTTCAGCCAGCCACTCTTAGCTTTCGTATCTTCATGCACACAACTAAGTGGACACAAAATGCATATTTAAAAAACGATCGACATGGACACACGCGCCGAGTAACGTTTACATCCCATCCATGTGTCGGCTGACCCCATCGCTCCATTCGCCGCTTGTTCACCTCTTTTTTATCCTGTGTGTCCCGATAATCATCACCACTCTTGTAGCTTCGAGCTACGAGTATATCTTCAGCCGTGCTCATTTCGCCAAGCAAAAAGCGAATGTCGTATTGTCTCTCTGTTATAGCGAGATTCGGTGATAAATACAATTTTTTCGCACGAGAAACGAGTTTTTCACTGGGCTTGGCTTCAATTGCAAAAACGGAGGGCACGAATAGATTGGTGCTTACACAAAAGCAGTACTTTCTGCATCAATTCGCCCGATTTAAGACGTACGCGAAGACTGTAGTCTCTTTTAATCAGCTTGTTGAATGTCTCAGCGGGGTTATTCGTCTTAGCGTACCCGGATGGAGAATGAAAACACTGCCAGTTGCAATAACGAGAAATAACCCATTCCCGGTTAAAGTAATCGACAAAATTACCTAGCGAATCCACATTAGCCCACTTGTGAAATGCTGTCGCCTTGAGCTCTTCGTACTCAAGGTGATTACGAGCATAGTGCATCTCGTATAAATGTTTGAATATCAGATGCACTGCTGCATCTGAAAGTCCTTTCAGCTTGTCTCGTACATTCTTGACTACGTGAAACCAACACATTATATACGATGACTCAGACCCTGACGAAATCACGCGCCTGAATCCGTTGTATTGGGCGTCCTCCGCGTCAGCCATAAAGTACGTAACTCTCACGGGACGTCCGACAACACGAAGAAATTGTTGTTTAATTGCTAGTAGCGCAGCTGCGTACTGAGTTTCAGCTCTTTGTGAAACCAGAAAAAGTGCCACTGGAAAAAATGACCGCGATGCATCTGAAATTCCACACACAAACAGAGGAAACCCAATTGTGTTCAGCTTAAATGTTGCGTCCATATGAAATAAGAAGGACTCGGGATTACGATCCAACTGACGCATCATTGTTTTCGTAGAAAACGCCACAACGAAAGGATCTTCGTCTGTCCCGTCTCCAAGAACCGGATCTCCTTCATTGTCCACGTTATATCCAAACGTGAACGTAGTCGATTCATCAAGATCGTCAGAATACTGCGCACTACTTGCAATGGAAATCATATCGTCCAGTATATCTGTTTGGAGAAGAATTGTTTTCTTGTGATTGTAGACAAAGTTTTGGACTGTTTGAAGCTTAGGAACGTTGCCTTGGTTAAGCGAGAACTGATCAATTAATGAATTTAGAATTCGATTTGGTGCTGCTGACGTTTCTGTCATTTTTCGAGTCTCAAACTTCATGACACGAGTGAAGGGCCTTGAATGCGGCGACCCGACCGGAGACGCGTGTTGTCCATGCTAAAAAAAGTCGTTGATGTCTGTTTGAAGACACCACAAAACCTTGAGCCAATACGTACAGCTTAAATTGTCTTCTTTACAGGTCGAAGAGTTGCAGACCCATATGCGATAACGCATTTGGTGGTGGTCGTGATTCGTAGGGCACATGGAGCAGCGTTTTTCATGTTGGCGTATGCATTGATAGTGCGCAGAGAGTCCAACTTCTCTTCTGCAGCGCGAACACCTTGAACTCGTGCCAAATGCTGCCAAGCGTAGGAGAACGGCATGCTACACCACGGTTGTATGTAAAGGAGACGAGTGCTTCTCCAATATCAATAAGCTACGTTGGTTCTCGTGTGGATTGCAAGTGAACTTGAAAATAGATTATTTTCCTTCGAGGACGCCCCATGAAAATAGATTTTAAGATCAATCCAGCATTATACTAACTACTAGCACGTTTTATCTTTCCTAAAAATAATATATTAGATAGAGGAGGATTGGGGGATAAGGTTTGCCCTGTCCCCTCAGTTCAACTCCGACTTCTGCAGTTTAAAATCAAGTCGGTTATTTGCATATTAATGCTTTCAGTTCTGATGTCAGGTGGTTGGTTTACTTCCTAGCTCGCTTAGTTTAGATTTCATGTCTTCTCGTACTACATGTACCAACCCAGTGAAATGTGGTGGTCGTTTATCGGCAGCTACATGTATTGGGACTATGATCCATTATTATGGTACATCCCGCGCTAGGAAATTTCTAACTATGCAACCTGTTCAGTGTCTTGCAAATCTAATTTTGGCAAAAGGGGGCGATCTTGTCAAATCCGAGAAGCTACCACAAAAAGAATCAGACTGCAAGATGAAGGTGTTCGGCTTCCTTTTCCTGGCTGCTACTGCAGCGTTTGCCCCTGCCAAAGCGCTAACAACCGATCTCCCATCGTCTCTGACTGCCTCGGAGCAGAAGACGTGGGAAGCCTTCGTGGACTACGCTCTGGACTATGAGAAGAGCTATCGCAACGACGCCAACGACCACGACGTGGTGCAGCTGCGTTTCCGATCCTTCGCGACCAATTTGGAGCGCATCCAGACGCACAACGAGGCCTACGAGCGTGGAGAGCACAGCTTCACGCTGGGACTCAACGATCTCGCAGATCTGGCGGACGCCGAGTACAAGCAGCTTCTAAGCTACCGTACCAGAGACTCCAAGTCCTCGAGTGCATCTGAGACGTTCGTTAAACCTGAGAACGTTGAAGATCTACCAGCGACTTGGGACTGGCGTGAGCATAGCACTGTCACACCCGTAAAGAACCAAGGCCAGTGCGGCTCGTGCTGGGCCTTCTCGGCCGTTGCGGCCATGGAATGTGCCTACGCTCTGAGCACTGGCACGTTGGAGTCGCTCTCGGAGCAAGAGCTCGTGGACTGCACTCTTAACGGCATCGATACCTGCAACCATGGAGGAGAGATGAGTGAGGGATACGAAGAGATCATTACCAACCACAAGGGCAAGATCGACCGCGAGGAGGTTTATAGGTACACGGCCGAGTCTAAGGGCGTGTGCAACGCCAAGGACGATAAGGCTATTGGCCACTTTACCTCGTACGCCAATGTGACGTCCGGCGATGAAGCTGCGCTACAGGCGGCCATTGCCACAAAGGGTGTGCAGGCCGTGGCCATTGACGCCAGTAGCTTCACGTTCCAACTGTACCGCCACGGCGTGTACAGCTGGCCGCTGTGCGGCAACGCCCCCGACGCGTTGGACCACGGCGTGGCTGCAGCTGGCTATGGCGTCTACAAGAAGAAGGACTATTGGCTCGTTAAGAACTCGTGGGGCAACTCGTGGGGCATGAAGGGCTACATCATGATGAGCCGCAACAAAGACAACCAGTGCGGCATCGCCACAGATGCCACGTACCCGATTATGACAAAGGAGGAAGTCGTCGAGGACCGTCCTATTGTTCTGGAGACGACGGAGCTGGCCAGCATCATGTAAGGCGAATGCTGTGTGGTTGCACAAGTGCACTTATGAATTGATAGCCGGTGGTGGCTGCTTTTACGAATGCCCAAAAATTAAATCACAAAATGAATACATGTACGGTGTTGGCGTTGCCATGTTGCTAGCTTTGCTGTTGCTCCAAAAGCAAGTTGCTTGTCGGTTTTCCCAGGAAAAGGCACCATGCCCTAACCGCTAGAAACGGTAAGCAGCATCTTAAAAATGCCGTTCCGCGCTCAATGAATTTATTAACCGTGAATAAACTATTTCAGTCTCTATAAATGATTTAAAATTTCAACTGTATGTTTTAAGCCATTTTTAGCTCAGTGAATGCCCAAATCTTACAAACAGCAAGTTTGAATTCTGAATATCGCTCTGACTTCAAGCGTCAAGTCGCAATGCCGCCAGATTTGGACCTTAGACCCTCTCTGAGATACAGCAAGGCAAGCGGAAAGTTAGAAGGCTAGCTGTAGCGAACTATTCTATCGCAAAATGGGATTCTCAACGGCAAAGGATTTCTAGCGCTGTTCCCAACTTCAAGGCGCGTCACATGGACCACTGACGTCGCCATTCTTGAGCAGCCACAAGGAATGACGTATCGCTCCTTTCCCCTAAGCAGAGCACGCAAGCCTGTGACGCGGCGGCCAAAACCGTGCATTTATTGGTTGAAACCAGCTCCATTGGCCACCACTGATTTGCCATTAATATTTTTCAAGCTTTTAATTGGACCAAATTACCCGTTTCGAAAAGAGACGGGACGATGAATGACGTCGTCATGTCTCTCCTCGTACTTAGTATGAAACACTCACTTTTCGAATGAACGAGTGGAGCAGTTTCCTCCCCACAACCAGCTCAACTGTTGTACATTTCGTATTCTACTGCCCATTGCCAACGTCGTATCAATCCTACAAACAATGGAGAGCCTCGCTACCTGCACCCGCAACAACGCTCAGCTACAGCTCAGCTCCTTCATCTCCCTCGATGCCGACGATGAAATGGCCCAGCTCATCCTCGAGGTATGCAATCGGGGAGCTACAATGGAATGCAACACTGTGCCGAATCTAACGTTATTTCTGTCATCACAGGAAATCTCGTACATGCGTCGTTCATTTACGGGTGTGGCAGCCGAGATCGCCAGCTCTCCTTCCAGCGCACCCTCAACGGGACTTAATGCCATCTCGGAAGACGACGAAGAGGAGGAGGATTAAACAGACTGCATCTTACATACCAACTAATAGAGAACTACGCGATCAGGGACCGATGCATCACACCGCCGGGACTTACGCACACCGTGCCGCAAATAGGTTTCTGTCGAGCCCGCTCGTTGGGAGGACCATGCCGGCCGGTGTCAGCGCACGTAGAGGGCAGGTATAGCAAAAGACAACGCGGTATTTATTGGAGAACAAGGCGATTTCTTTTCCAATGTTGGATATCCATAGCGCTTGCCTTTTCTACTGCGATGTCGAACGCTCAATGGCATGAGTCGATCAAGTAGTACTACGTAGAATCACGTAGTACCTTAAAGTAGCACTTTAGACGTTTAAAAAAAGAGGAATACTAATAGTAGTAGTACCCAAGTTGTAGTACCTCTTTCTCTGCTAGTACTAAGTACTTAAGTAGTACTGTTTCCAAGTCATTTACTACTACAGCTCTGCGTAGTACTAGAGTCAGAAAACTGGCTAAAAAACTACTTGCGAGAGGCTGTTTTCTAGAAAACCGCCCATGTCCTCGATCGCACTCGTCCAAAAACTAACTGCTGCTCGTAGCTGAGACTGTTTCTCCTCAGACACTTTTCGTATTTCCTCCTCTTGTGCTGCGAGGGATCTCCACAATGAGCTCATCCAAAAAGGCTTTGTAAATTTTCCAGCATCTCGGCTGATTGTCGTCTTTCGGAGCTTGTCCAATTTGCTCGACAAGTCGCTGATCTTACGCTGTAAGCTTTCCTTTTCGAGTTTCAGTTTCTTTCGGTACATGCTGCATCGCACAGCGTCAATTGATTTTTTCTTGGGCAGTGGTTTTGGCTTTCTGTTGGGCTCTGCTCCGTTGTTATTAGCAAAACGGTACTCTCTAGCATCCCAAGTTACGTCGGCACGTTGAAAAACTGACTCTGGCTCAAAAGCGTCTCCATCTCTTCCATCAGACCTTCCACATTCACGTCTTCCAGTACCAACGACGCTTGTTGGGTGAGCTTGTCGGGTTCATAAAGGAAACTCATTTGCTCGCCAACAGCAGCAGAATCCACGCTTTTTCGACTTGTCATTTCAGGAGCGGAAACAAAATTGATGTGAGATCGACGACGTTGAATACGTAAGCTCAAACATGAAATTCGGTACCACCGCGTGGTTGACGACCGTAAAACTAATATATGAGAATACCATTGGTACAGTATGTGTTTATCAAGTAGTTCAAAGTCTGGACATAACTTATGTCAAATGAGTTATACGGCTCTGCGCGTAGTAACAAAATCCGAGATAGCCATCCACAGCTTACGGTGGGCGCCAAACTGTCCATATGTAATTGAAATTTTACCATGTCGTAATCAAAGGGAAGAATGTGCAACCCAGTGGAGAATTGTAGTGAAACCCTTACTATTTTTTTAATTTGCATCGCGAACGTGCTAATACCGAGCAGACAAAACTTTCAAGAGGATTACAGCCAATGCTGCTTTCCTTTTCAAACTGCGACTGCAGTGGATACTACCCAGTTTGCGGCGGAGGTTTGATTCGATTTACAGCTTATTGACCGACTAATTCACCCGCTAAGTATATGGAATTAATTAGGCAAAATGTAAATTTATCCGCTTATTAATAGATGCCGACAGCAATCCGAAATGGTATTGGTCCGCGCGCTACAGTAACACAGCACAAATATGAAGGTTTACTTGATCTTCACCCTTTATTTGACTCCCTTCTGGCTTCATAAATAGTACGCATGGCATTTGGGCTCGCCGTATTGGGGAGACTGCACTACACTAAAGTCAGTTCTTAGCTCGCTAAACTCATCGTCCATTTTTTTCTTTTGAAAAATGATTGCCATTTAGCTGTGAAAGGTGAAGTTAACGACCTCGTCTTCTCCTAGAGGGCACTCATTCTATTAATTGCTCGCAGAGGCCTTGGGCTGAAGGGCTCTCTTTGTTTGAATTGAGGACCCAATGACCCACGTCGCGGACATACTTGTATAGTGTATACATTCCCACGCAGATTCAGTCTTACAAGCTTTAAGCAAAGCGGCTACTTTTTTTACAGTGGCCACACGAACGTACTACGTAGTACAGTAGTAGTAAGCTACTCATGAAGAAGGAGGATGCTGCAGTGATACCGTAGTGGCCAGCAAAAGAAATGCCAGAGGGGCTAGCACAACTTTTTTGTTTATGATAGAATCCGTAGACGACGTAATTATGCCAAAAGGTTTTACTTTAAATAAAAGAAAACTCGGGTGATTGCCAAGTCACTTAATGAACCTTACATTCACATTTACATCTTTCACTACAGTTGTTCAGAATACTAACCGTTACTAGCTAAATACTAGATATGTGATGAGTTTCAAGCGGCTGTGCGAGCAAGCGTGTACACCGCGGTAGGCTTTCGGCTAAATATTGGTCCAAATTGCTGCGACCGAGTACTGTAGCCAAAGAAGCCGCCCAGTTGATACCCCTTTGGTGCGGTGTCCTTGCCAATTTGGTTCGTTTTGGTTTCGCCCGAGATAGTATTTGCGTTGTCGATAGTGAACTCGATGTACATGATGCGCGAGTGGCCATAGTATTTACCCCAGTGTGCCTCAATACCAGTAGCGTGCTCATCTTCACCTAGCGTAAGTGTTTTCGCAGCACCGCCGTGGGCCAGCGTGGATGGCTGCGCTTCCGAATCCAGCACTTCGAGGATGATTGCGCTCACGCGATCATCAGAGCGAATCGTAACGGACTTGACCTGGAGAAGCCACGCTTGGGTCCGAGTACTGGTCTTCGTGGGGCCCGCCAAAAGTCTCACCCAGTTGAACTCCTTGTTGTAATTTAGCAGCACTGTCAGTCACAAGTGGGTGCGGATTATATCGGAGTACAAAAAGGATGATCTTCGAGTACATGCTCAAAAAGGATGGTTTGCGAGTACAAATGGGAAAAGGGTGGATTGGCGAGTCCATGGCTCGAAAAGGATGAGTTGCGAGTTTCAAATTACACGGAGAACACTATTATGGCTCACTAGGAAACGCTATTTACGGATATGTGGTGCACCCCAGTTGATGCCTGTCGCAACCAATGGCTGCCTGTGACTGCTGGTGGCTGGCTGAGGCTAGCGATGGTTGGCTGTGGCTACCGGTGGCTGGTAGAGGCTGCCGGTGGTTGGTAGAGGCTTGTTGGGGCGAGTAGTGGGTTTCCTGTTGCTGCCTTGGTGTTCAGTTGTACTCTCAAAGTCGCCATGTCGGAGGCGTTCGCAGTCATCGACGATGGCGCGGGTTCCCCGCCTCCAGCCGACGAGCCCAGCTTTACCCGACTGTCGGTGCATCAATCCGACGAGGACGCGCTTCGGAGGCCCAACTGCTCTATCAGTCACTCTACCGCGTTCAAGTACTCAACAGCGAGTATGACCCGTTCGAGGTGTCTCCAAAATGGAGTGCAGACGATGTACGTACTTGATCTCATCTCAATCCCACATGGCAGCGACGGTTCTGACTGTTCTTACTCTAGATCCGAATGGTGCGTCAGTGCTATGTGTGCGATTGCTCTGAGTCACGCCAGTCAGGATGGATGTGCGAGCACATTGTCGCGACGATGACGCTCCTCGAGAAGATCAGCATCGACGCGTTGTTGAGTGTGCTGCCAGTTCGACGACGCCCAGGAGGTCAGCTCAAATCCCGCGGCGCGCTTGCCCGCACGCGGTTCAACAAAAGCGACGCGCGGTTCTTCGGTGTCTCGCACCTGGAGCAGCTTTTCATGGAAAGCCCCGCCGCGCCAACACACTGGCACGTGACCAAGGAGTTTAGTGTGGAGAACAGGGGGCAAGTGCTACGTGAGCATGTGCCTGGACATGTCGACCGTTGACTCGAAAATGGCGGTCGCTATCAGTGGAAGGTCAAGTTCTCAGCCGGAAAGTGGAGCTTATGGACGTGGAACAGCTCGCAGCTGCTGTCGCCTACAGTCACGCACTAGGTATGCGAGTCATCCCATAGTCTCCGGTGACACTGACCAAACTTGTCGGTTCTTGTGAATGTACTCGGTGATCCACCTTTATGATGCCATACTCGCCAATCCACCTTTTTCCCAAATTGTACTCGCAAGTCATCCTTTTTGTGTGTGTACTCGGAGATCATCCTTTTTGTACTCGCGAGTAAGCTCCCCCCGTCACAAGTACCATCGCTGCCACGACTTGAAAGAAAAACTTCGTTGTACTTTGCGGGACTGGAAGAAGGATAATTGATGCAATAGCTATAGCTCGTAGAGCATTAACGGCTGGATTTTCAGTTTAGTGTCTTGTTCCCCCACTACAGATACAGGGCGTCTTACAATGCAAATTATTGGCAGAAACCATACATGGGGACTCAGGGTTCCATAT